GGCTCGAACCCATGAACCGTGAGATCATGACCCAAGCCGAAGTCAGTCGCCCCACCGTCTGAGCCACCCAGGTCCTCCTGGTGGCATATCTTCTAAATAATAGCTTTGCTGAGATGTAAGTCATCAGGTTCACTCTTTCCAAGTGTAGAATTCACTGGTTTTTAGTATATTCCCAGAGCTGTGCAACCATCCCACCTTCTAGTTCCAGAACATTCTCAGCACCCCCAAGGGAAACCCTGTACCGTCAGCATTCCTTCCTCTCCCGGCTTCCGAGCTCCTGGCAGCCATCGGTCTGCTTCCTGTCTCTATGGATTGGCTTGTTATAAATATTTCACGGAAGCAGAATCATACGAGGCATTTTGCATCTGATTTCTGTCACTGAGCATAATGATTTCAGGTTCATCGTGGTGTAGCCTATCAGTACTTCATTCCTTTTTATGGCCGAATACTATTCCACCATATGGACAGACCATGATTTATGTATCTCTTGTCCTGCTTTGTGGACGCTGGGTCACACTCAGAATTGTATAGCATTCCTGGGGCTCCTGTGAGCTGACTCTGAGGAGTGTTGGGATCCTGTGCTGCAGGGATTTGAAACCTTTTTGCCCAAGACCCACAGTAAGAAATACATGTTATTTTACAACCCAACGCAAACACACACACACCTGAAACAGATCCGCAAGCGATGGTTACATTAACTATGTGCAATATTCTCTTTTCTCTCTCTCTCTCTTTTTTAATGTTTTATTTTTGAGAGAGAGACAGACAGAGCATGCGGCGGGGAGGGGCAGAGAGAGAGGGAGACACAGACTCTGAAGCAGGCTCCAGGCTCTGAGCTGTCAGCACAGAGCCCGACGCGGGGCTCGAACTCACGGACTGTGAGATCATGACCTGACCTGAAGTCTGATGCTTAACCCACTGAGCCACCCAGGCTCCTCTCTTTTTGCTCTTTTATTCCATTCCATTAAAAATAAGCTAATCATGGAGGTGCTTGGGTGGCTCAGTTGGTTGAGTGTCTAACTCTTGATTTTGGCTCAGGTCATGATCCCAGGGTTGTGGGATCAAGCCCTACATCAGGCTTTGCAATGAATGTTGTGCTTGCTTAAGATTCTCTCTCCCCCCCCACCCACCCCTTTCTGCTGCTTGCACGTACTCTCTATTAAATTTTTTTTTTCTCAGATTTAAAAAAATTGGCTAGCCACACGTGCTAAATTGATCTCACAACCACTATCAGGTTGTCACTGACAGTTGAAAGCCACTGCCTGGGGGCTTTGCTACTGGTCCACAGGCCAGTGCAGAGTGCCAGCCCCCCACCCCTAGTCCTGCAGACCCTGAACATACCCAGTGCCCCGAGGATTCAGTGCCCAAGAAAGCCTGGAAAGAGCTGCTATAAGTTGAGGTTCAATCAGGATAGAGATTTGAGAGTTAAGTGGATTCAGTGTTTCACTAAGCACCTACTGTGTGCCAGACACCTTTCCAGGCCCTGGGGATTTGGAGTAAACAAGCCAGCCACTGTATCTCTCCCCAACTGTGACAGGGCAGGGAGAGATAAAGCAGATAACGTCACACAAGGAAATGCTTCATGGTTCCATATGACTAGGGCGTGAGGCCTACAGGGTTCGTGGAGAGGCTGAATCAGGCAGGGGGTAACGCAGGTGGGCCATTTAGACTGGGAAACTGAGGAAGGTCCCTCTGAGGAGGTAACAAGTGGCTGAGACCGAAGGAAGGAGCAGGAGTCCTTCAGGGAAGGGTGGGGAGGACAGGTGGGTCAGGCAACCCACACAGTAAGCACAAAGGCCTGGAGGCAGGACTGTACGTGATGCTTTTGAGAAACTGAAAAACCAGTGCAGGGTGGCTGGAACAAAAAGGAGCAAAAAGGCCGGCGGCCCTGGCAGAAGCTGGGAAAGTGCTCAGGGACCAGTGCCTGCTGAATCCAGGCTGTGGCAAAGGTGGGACTTCATCCTGGGGCAGTAGGGAGCCATGGAGGGTTGTCAGCAGGAGACGATGTGAGCAGACTTCTGGGACAGAACGTTCTTTGGCCACTGTGGCCACGTCAGGGCCTTGCTGGGGCTGGGCTGGAGAGCAGGAGCTGCAGGAGGGACAGGCAGGACCTGCCACTGAAGCTTTTTATCTTGAAATATCCTGAACTTTGTGAAAATTAAATTCTTGCTGTTGGGAGACTTCTAAGAAGATGTGTATTGGGTAGGGGTGGGAGCCAGTCATTCAGGGTGCTGGCCAGAAGTGGGATTCACCCCAATGGCCTAATGGGGACATAACATAAAAGAACTCCTTGCAGAGGTATGGGCAGGATGGAGAGGCCCCAGGGACTAGACCCTGCAGTGATCCCTGACACCCGGGGGTGGGAGGGGGGGGTTGGTGGTGCCACGGGAGGGGATGGCGTTGTTACCAAGCCTCAGGAGAGCCAGAATGTGGCAGGGGGGGGGGGGGCCCAGGGGCAGTGAGGCAGCAGG